TACCAGTTAAATTATAAGACCTATGAACTAAGAGTTAAAAAGCTGTTTTTCTGGATCAATCCTGGGCCAGAATTAACACAATTATATCGTCTTATTAATAAGAGTGTTAATTGTCTTTGTTTGATCATTTAGGCCAGATACAAATATTGGAGAGTTCCTGTAACCGGTTTGGACTTGGTACCTCGCTTTATGCCAAGTGCAGTGGTTGCAGCATTTCTGAGTTTCTCGCAACTGATAGCCACCCTCACGATGATGCTAATCCGAGAACCCTTCAAGGAAAATATGTCAATAGAAGAATGGTGTTTGCTGCATTTGAGAGTAGAATTGGAAAAGAAGGAGTAGCCAAATTTTGTGAGGTCTTCTATATGCCTTTTGATCTGTCAACTGACACTTGGTACAGCCATGAATTAACAATTGGTGCATGCTTTAGCGTGCACTATCGAGTTTTGGAGCACGCGGGAAGTTTGGAGAGCACGAAAGAAGCGTAAGAGTTGCCCAAGGCGATAGCCGAGGGAATCTCTAGCTTCTTGAGAGCTCTCCAAACTTCCCACGGGCTCTATAACTCGATAGTGCACAGCTGAAAGCATGAACCAATTGTTTTAGAGCATAGCCGTTGGAATTGTGCATCAAATCCGACGCGAAAAACGGACAACAATATCAGTCGAAGCGAATGGTGACGGCGCTGATGCCGAGTCTCCTTTTCCTTTGTTTTTCTCTCTTTCTGCCTCATTTAAGAACTCTAGCCCAAGGGAAAAGCTCGAAACATTGTCTTCGTATTTGGACTAGTAGGCCGAGTTTCTGTTTGTATCCATTATTGTCGCGAAATATATTATTTTTCCCCGCGCTAACAATGGCCGCTCGCGCGAAAACAAAAATTTCTGGCGAAGTCGGATTTGCTGACGCTATCAGCGTGCACGATCGGGATTTTGAAAACTTAAGGGTTACTTGCCGAACAGGCAAGGTGTAATTCAAATATTTTTCGAGCCCTGTGACTGGTACCAAGACCATATCTGCGAAGGTTCCTACAAAGGATCCAGCCCTAGCATGGAAATGGAATGTGCGAAGAGGCTTTGGGGGCGGAGAGAGAACAATCGTGTCAGATACAAATGGATGATTTGTGATGGTGACTATAAATCATACAATGCTATATGGAATGCCTATGGTGCATGTGACACTTATCACAAGTATGAGGCAATGGAACAATTTGACAAAGAACTCATTTCATGGAAAAACTCTCAAGAGCACAAGACATGTGAAGAAGACCATCTTCACGGAAAAGCAGAGTGTGAGAGAGTTATAAAATTGGACTGTATTGGGCATGTCCAAAAAAAAGGCTTGGCAAGGCCCTTTATGAGTTTCAAAGGTCCTCCATTAAGCTCAATAACACCTCTACCTATAAGTACTTAGTGTTCACCTTGACTCATCACTAAACCTTGCATCACATTTTGACCGAATCTATAAAAAAGCTGCAACCAGAATTAATCTCTTGCGATCAATTCGTCCTTTGATCGACCAAAAGTGTGCAGAATCGATCTATAACACTATGATCGCACCTATTTTTACCTATTGCGGAACACTTGGTCTTAGCTTTCCGGATTACCGAAAGGAAATGATAAAGAACATCGAACGACGAGGCTTTAAAGTTATTGGCAATAGTTCTTTTAATCCCCCATCCGTGAACAATTTGATCAAGCGTAAAAGCTGTTTGTTTGTTTTCGACTGTCTCCTGAATAATGTTTGCACACCCTTTAAGAACTACTTCGAAAGACTGGTTCATTCTAAGGCCACTAGGAATAACGGTATATCAGTGAAATTACCCAAAGTACGTTTAGAATTTGGTAAAAAGAGCTTCTATTACCAAGGAGCAAAGACTTTCAACAACCTGCCTGCTGAACTAAGGTCGTTAGATTCGAGACTGAAATTTAAGAACAAATTGCGAGATTATTTTAGTTAAATTCGATCTAAACGTGGTTNACTATTGAAAATTGAGGACTTCATATCTCAAATTTACATTCTCGTTGGGTTTTTCTTTCCCACTTGAAGAAAATAGTATTCGAGGTGCCGACATTGTAGATTTAATCATAAGTTTACGGACTGCAGGTGTACCATGCACAAAGTGAAATCTGAAACGTAAAGCACTTTCGAAGGCAGTCAGGCATAATAAAGATGAGTCCGAGCCGCAGGACAACTCATGAAAATCTTTTTGCCTAAACAGCGTAAAACGCCAGAAATTAAATAAAGAATTTTAAAACTTCTCTTTGATATTATTATTGTACAGAATGTAAGAAATTTTGTTTAGTGAATGAAAATATTCTGCGGGAGTGGTGTGGACAATTTCACCTGGGGGAAAAAATTTATGACAGTTTAATTTCGAAATCACTTTCTTCCTGTGTCCACGGCTGTTTTACCAAGGACAACATTCACCTGCCTTTAGCGTGGTTAACAACTTACTACAAATGCTGTATGTCGTGATCTAAATAGCATCTAAATGGAAATTCGTTTAATTCAACTCCTTACCTCTATCTCTAGGGGTTTTAGTATGCTAGAATTTTTAGCCTTGAAGCACAGATTTCATTGCTTTTATAAATCGAAGACAAAAATTTGTTTCAAAGACGAAACTTTCGTTTGTATACAGAAAAAACAAAAATATCAAAGGAGGGAACAATTGCTTATAAAACACCAAATTCTCGGATTTTTATCTGCTTTAGAATTACTGCAGGGAAAGGGTTCATTCTGTGACCTCACATGTACACAGATATGCCACTTTTTGAGTATTTACTGCGTTAATCATTAGATTCCCTGATGGTGGCGCCTTTATTTACTTCGCCAAGGTGACGTTGTAGAATTCCAAACCCATTTGGAATATATGATCTAGGAATTATAGTTATATGCGAACTCATTTCTTATCAAAATTTTTATTGAGAAGAGCCTTTCCCGAGACGGTCTCCTCAGCTCTGACTGCATGGTACAACATGACACCATTTCTTCCGGGCACTATCGTAAACGACACACCCTTGATGTCAAACAAGGTTTTCAAAGGGGCACGCTCAACCAGTATGTCCTGCGCGCCATTGTTATTGTTATTATCCGGGAACTCGACACTTTTTCTCACAAAACACACACAAACGGCAAAGAATACCACAACGGCAGTAGCTTTTGCCAATATTTACATGGCAAAAATATGGAAAGCGTATTATCACTCAGAGCAAAACTAGAAGGCCGTTTACACGGTAGAAAAATCGGGTACAGACGTGTCAAAAAAGGAGTACAGACCTCGCATTTTTGTCCGTGTAAACAATCCGTACCATGTTTTGGGGGATGGGTACGGACCCGTGTTTTTTCTGGTTTTGGGGCCATAGACGTCTATGGCCCCAAAACCAGAAAAAACACGGGTCCGTACCCATCCCCCAAAACATGGTACGGATTGTTTACACGGACAAAAATGCGAGGTCTGTACTCCTTTTTTGACACGTCTGTACCCGATTTTTCTACCGTGTAAACGGCCTTCTAGTTTTGCTCTGAGTGATAATACGCTTTCCATATTTTTGCCATGTAAATATTGGCAAAAGCTACTGCCGTTGTGGTATTCTTTGCCGTTTGTGTGTGTTTTGTGAGAAAAAGTGTCGAGTTCCCGGATAATAACAATAACAATGGCGCGCAGGACATACTGGTTGAGCGTGCCCCTTTGAAAACCTTGTTTGACATCAAGGGTGTGTCGTTTACGATAGTGCCCGGAAGAAATGGTGTCATGTTGTACCATGCAGTCAGAGCTGAGGAGACCGTCTCGGGAAAGGCTCTTCTCAATAAAAATTTTGATAAGAAATGAGTTCGCATATAACTATAATTCCTAGATCATATATTCCAAATGGGTTTGGAATTCTACAACGTCACCTTGGCGAAGTAAATAAAGGCGCCACCATCAGGGAATCTAATGATTAACGCAGTAAATACTCAAAAAGTGGCATATCTGTGTACATGTGAGGTCACAGAATGAACCCTTTCCCTGCAGTAATTCTAAAGCAGATAAAAATCCGAGAATTTGGTGTTTTATAAGCAATTGTTCCCTCCTTTGATATTTTTGTTTTTTCTGTATACAAACGAAAGTTTCGTCTTTGAAACAAATTTTTGTCTTCGATTTATAAAAGCAATGAAATCTGTGCTTCAAGGCTAAAAATTCTAGCATACTAAAACCCCTAGAGATAGAGGTAAGGAGTTGAATTAAACGAATTTCCATTTAGATGCTATTTAGATCACGACATACAGCATTTGTAGTAAGTTGTTAACCACGCTAAAGGCAGGTGAATGTTGTCCTTGGTAAAACAGCCGTGGACACAGGAAGAAAGTGATTTCGAAATTAAACTGTCATAAATTTTTTCCCCCAGGTGAAATTGTCCACACCACTCCCGCAGAATATTTTCATTCACTAAACAAAATTTCTTACATTCTGTACAATAATAATATCAAAGAGAAGTTTTAAAATTCTTTATTTAATTTCTGGCGTTTTACGCTGTTTAGGCAAAAAGATTTTCATGAGTTGTCCTGCGGCTCGGACTCATCTTTATTATGCCTGACTGCCTTCGAAAGTGCTTTACGTTTCAGATTTCACTTTGTGCATGGTACACCTGCAGTCCGTAAAATTATGATTAAATCTACAATGTCGGCACCTCGAATACTCTTTTCTTCAAGTGGGAAAGAAAAACGCAACGAGAACGTAAATTTGAGATATGAAGTCCTCAATTTTCAATAGTATTTCAACTGCGCGCTATTTCATTCTCTTTTCCAGAAACTCTAAACAAGGGAGTAATTAATATATTGTAAAAATTTGGGAATACGAAAATTTAACAATAACCCCCTCTTGTAAATCGTCTTTAGTAGTAAGTGAGAAAATCAAGAAAATAGTCCGTCCTTGCTTGCTTCTACTGCTCCGATAAATTTCGAAGTTTTGTCCTCGAATCTCTACTGTGGAAGTAGAACGCTTCTCGTGTCGTTTCGGAAACCCTTTCTCAAATTAATCGATGGAAATAGAACTTTATTTGCTTTTTCTACAAGGAGGCGCATACACATTGGGAAAAGTAACCAACAATCACTTCTCGCTTCACAGCCACATACAATCGCGAGTTCAGGGTATTATAACTACTGTAGAACTCCAGCAATCCAATAGTTTAGAACTCGCACATCAGCGTAAACACCGTATTTATTTGGGACCGCACAATGTTTTCCCCATGATATGACGCCCACGAGGTACCAATGTCCGTCATATTCACAAGCCAGCGGTCCACCGCTATCTTTTTGACATGCATCAATCCTTCCATCCTTGTATCCGGCGCATAAAGCCGTCATTGGAACAGTCCCATCGTAGGATTTCTTTTTGTTACACTCTGTTCGCGAAACTAAGCGTACCGGAGCTTCTTGCAAAAACTTCGACGGCGGCTTGTTCCATCCATTTGATCCCCATCCTGTTACATAGCAGATCTTTCCGGGGGGTAATGGTAGGCCATTCGTGGGGAGACAGATAGGTTGCACATAGATATTAAAAGTTACTGGGCTTGAAAGTTCGAGAAGAGCTGAAATAGAAAGGATAGTGATGAAAAAAATTCGTACTTTTCTTTGTTCACAGCCAATCAGCCATATGAACGATGATATTTAATTTGTTGAGAAACATTTTTAGCGGTGTCTGAATGGGCGAACGATGCTTTTCCAACAGTGACTCAACTAGTACGGGAAACTATGCCACTGTCTAGGTGAAAAACCTTGCGAGCCAAGACGTTCAAAAGACATATGGAAGCCGATCGGGTGACAGTTTACAGCTTTAAATGCAAAGCCACTTTGTTAAAGACAAGGAGAAGTAAAACGTTTGCCAGGGAAAAACTGTGATAAAGCATCTAAAGGAATTCAAATGAGAATTGTCATTTGGGCGAAATCTTTATCGAGCGACTTTTCTGCCATTACCATAAATGACCTGGTAATTAACATGAACACGACGCTTCGCGGCTCGGTTGACAGTTGTCCCCAGTGAGTATCTACAGTGTAACAGGTACGGGTTCGAATCCCGTCGACCCAGAACTCAGTTATCAGGACCCTTTTACTAAAATTTCTTAAGTTTCAATTCTACTATATGAGGTTCATTCCGTTATTTTTTGCAATCTTTCACGGGTCAAAAAAATTATTTCTTTGATCTTTGCTTGAACTGTAATAATTTTTTTAAAATCATTTTTCAGTGAGGATTTTTTCCCACCGTAAGGCTTTCACTCACCTACATCATAATCTGGAGGCTGAATTAGCACACCTTGAACAGTTTTACCCCAGTAATTTGGGTGCAATATGATATTCTTTACTCCTCTTACTTGTTCAAAGTTTATTGACTCTGATGAAAGAGGATCGGTGCCAAGTTTAACTTTCCAGCGAGTTGGATCCTTTGTTGATCGATAATCTGTTTGAAGATAAATATATTTCAGACATAAGTTATTATCCCGGTTAGGGGGCGGAAATATAATATTTGAGCATACTTTGAGATATCTGACTTTGGCTTAAAAGAAAACGTAGCGAGCTCTCTTTGAAGGAAGAAGGGAGTTACCTGTCCTACGTCTCAGACAGAACAGTGTGAGAATTCTTAATTTCCCTCAGACCTACCAATAGCTGAGGAGTTCGGTTAGCAACTCGTTCAGACCATTTTCGTCAATTATTATCAAAGTGCCATCGATTTGCTGAGTCTGTGACCCACCTGTGAAACAATGACAGGCAGTTAAAACCCAATTGGGCCGTATAATCGAGCCTCCACAAACTTGGATATCATCCAGCAGTAAGGCAACCTGCCATGGCCACGCACCGTCAACACTAACTCTCCCACCTACTATTCGCTTGCTTATCAAATGGTTTCTTGTAGTGGCCATTCCATAGTGATTGCTGGTTGTTGGGTAAAGAATTCGTTGTCCACAAGAGTCCATACCTGAAATCAAAAAGGGGAACAGAATGACATTTCTCGGCTTCCTTGAGCGTTCTGGGGTAATAAATATTGTAAATAAAGAGTGACTGGTGACTGATTTAACGATCGTAAAATGCAATCTTAACTCGAGAAGACACAATTTCTTTCAGTGGTAGTTCCTCAATAACCATTACGAGTGATATGTACATGCAGAATGTCAAACATACAAGACTGATAGGTACACAGCAAGGACGGGACTTAGTGTTGATAAAGGCGGACTTACTAGAGAAAGAACGAAAGGAAAGACGAGAAAAATCTTAAAGGGCAGAGGCTAAAAGGAGACATTTTTCGAGTTTCGTTGAAATTTTATTCCATGTCGCCTTCAAATTTAACTCGTTCTCTTCTAATGGGATATAACTTGCGCCTTTGTGGCAAACACGAGAAAAATTTACCCGAGCACGAAATCTAATATTGCCTTATACAGTAAAGAGCCGCTTTCTCTGCTTTTCTCCGAAAACTCATTAACTGCCCCAAACAACAATACTAAATAGAAAACTAGCATAGACCGATTTAGAGTACTTTTTCTTCCTTTTTCTTCCTGATTTGGGACTTCTCTCACTCTTTTAAAAAACACCTTACCTTGGGGCACTAGCTCCTCCTGATGGACATTAGAACCGCAACAAACGTTGATTATAAAAAAAGAAATAAAAGTAACGCTTTCTTTTTTCCTCGGCGTCCTAGGGTGCATAACGTTTTAGGCAATGACTGCGATCCGCGACCCTATCAAAAACAAGAAACAAGAAAGACCCGTAAATTTTAAATGGCCTTGAATTCAATATCCGGCTTTGAACGAACTTTCTTTTTACATCGCTAAGTGTTTTTTACACCGCTAAGTGTATATGGCTACGGAAGATTCACGTGTGCCTAAACAATCCTTTTTATCTTTTAATGAAATCAACAATTATCTTTGCAAAAGAAAGATTTTGCAGCGAAACACGTTGTCGTTCATAGGTCACACGGCTATCACCGTTTTTCTTCTAAGCGCCATACTTTAAAGCAGCTGCTTCTTTCGAACTGTAAATAATGAAACCGGCCCACTCGATTTCTCTTTCATGAAAACAGCGTGGAAAGGAATCTTTGAAATAGATTCACTCCTAAAAAAGAGATCATGAGGACAAAGAACCGTTGTTTATAACTTCTTGCGCCCGATATATATCTATCCATAAAAAAAGTCCGGCGGCCTCTATACCTCAAAGTCACCATTTCGAATCATACTACTCAAAAATGGTAAGATAATGTTAAACTGGCCAGAAATTAACATATGTTCAAGTTATGAAATTACAAATTACGTACCGTCCAATACCTACCTAGAAGATGCATTCCATCGGCTTAAACATTACCTGATTAGCAAAATATTCAGTCAAACGAGTCAACTTATGTTTAACATAATTCATTGATTATCTTGCAGTACTTTCTCTTTACATCCAAATATTGAGAGAAAAATCCAATTACTAAAATATGGATCTTCTTTGAAAGCTACCGACCACTTTGTAAATATTTAATCACACGTTCCACTTTTAAACGTTCGCAAACATTAGTTCAATGCTTTTCTTAAGTTTGTCTTCGAGGACCTCCACTTTCCGTCGTTTGATGGTAGTAACAGATACTCTTTAGTTTATAATTTCAGCAGTTGTTTAAAATCGCGGAAATTACACGCAGTAATGGAAGATAATTCGGCCTGTATTGGACAAATAACAGTTTAAAGCACTAACATGTTAATGAAGTGCAGGAACAATTCTATCGGTGCTCAATAAATTTTTCTCTTTTATCAGTTGCACCACAGTCTGCCAAACATGATAATAACTTAACCGAATATTTGACTAGTGTTCACCTTTTTTAAATATTCTGGCTGACCATTCTAATCTTTTTAGGCTCAACAGTTAAGAAATTCAGAAACTTGTCTTTAAAAGATTCTTTACAGAAGTGTTTATCGAATTCAAGAATAACATTTCTCTACCAAATGTCTCTGACAAGAAACTTGAAGAAGAAAAGTTTCAGGGTGAATGGAAACAACCAGTTATAAATACAACTCAAAATCAAGTCGCTCAATAATTTGTCAAACTCTAGAAGTTCTTCTTAATTTCGTTACTTTATCTCACGGCTTGAATCAAGCAAAAAATTTAATATTGCTAACCACCTTACCTGTCGATTTTGTGAAATTCCAGCTGATGAGCGGTTTGTAAGAGGTGTCTTATCGAGAAAAGTCGCTCGTATAAGCGCTCCTTATCCGCTTACACCTGCTAACGAACTACGATTAACATAACAACAATGATATCCCGTTGATTATGTTTGGAGGCGCAAAATTAATTTCAAGTGTTAAAAATAACGATCTCGATCTTCCATATTATTACTGAGGCACAATTGTATCTCCGTGTTGCATGATTCCAGTGACATTTTTATGCCATCGATTGAAAGGTTTGAGTGTAGCCTTTCTTATCAGTCCGGTTGACGTATTGTTTTTCGTTCATTACAGAGTAACGTTTTATGCCAGCTGTACCATGTTAAATTTAAACCATTCATAGCCTGTCTTCCTAATAAACTCGCTCTGGCTTAAAGTTACCTAATCTCCCTATTAAAAGAATGAATTTTTTTTTTAGTTAAGTTCTTTGGAAGTGTTTCAACTTAGTTTAAGACCGCCGGTGGTTCTCTCTTTTTTTTCCTTTTCTTTTCCATAACTTATTTAAAAAATGCTGTAATTAACATTTTTGCTTTCTTTAATTTTACCATCCTTCAAATTCTTACCATGGACTCGCTTGATAAATATTTTCAGACAGAATACAGAAAATAAAAATCCACACGCTTTTCCTAATCTATTGACATAGCTGAGAAACCTATTGGTATCCCAAATGTCGGCCGTAACAAACAGAATCTAACCTTCCAAGTTTTCAAATCGATTCGCGATTTGTATAATTAGGCCGCCTTCGTAAACTTTAGTTTCTCTAACTGTGTTTGCACCGCAAATGGAAATTAAAAGTATGTTACGTGGTCTGCTCTTAGTGGTAAGCGTTGGTGGACTGTTAGTATTTATCTGTACGAAGTGTGCCGCTAAAAAAATAGTTGTAGAAGTTCAAAGACATTAATAGAAACGATTTTAGAACAGTTTCCAATTCTCAGCGACCAATCAGAACAAGAATTCACATTATCATGAGATGAGGAGAACCGGATCAAAGCAAAAATAAGAAAATTGGTCGAGGCGCGGAAAAACGCGAATGACCAAGTTTTAATTTCTTTTAGTTTTGAATCTGATTGGTTTAGAATATGGCACGAGTTTTCTGAACCAATCAGAGAGAAATGTTCAGTAAAACCAAAGCCATCCCGGATTACTTTCGACACTCGGTTGAAAACTGCTCTATCAAAAGTAATGTACTGTAAGAAACTTGTATGTCACTAATTTTTAGTATATTATCGCAAGTTAGGGAAAGGAGTAAATAAGGGGACAACGCAAGGTAGTGTGAGCGGCCCTTACTTATTTAACGTGTTTCTAAATGACCTAGAAATCAAGCTAGGTTCTACTCCCGCCCTTTTTAAGTATGCAGATGACTCAACCATTATCGTACTAGTGTGGAAAGGGGGCAGTGATACGCCGCGTGATTTAGTGGTGAAGTTTTTGACCTAGGCGAACTGTAATTCCATGAGCTATAGCCCTAAAACGTGTAAAGAACTTGTCAGAAGGAAGAAAGGGAACTCCACATTCTATCCGGTTGTGCGTAATATACCACAACATGCCACTCTTGATTTATTGGGTTTGACCGTTCAGAATGACTGTAAAATTTTGGCGCGCATAAAAGATAAACTAATAATAATAATAATAGGTCTTTATTGTTTTTTAAGCAAAGATACATGCTAAAACAAGAAAATTTACATAAAAATAATTACAAGGCTATCAACATTACATAATATAAGACATCACTGAAAAACTGCGCAAGGCCAACAAATGTCTACACGTGCTGAGAGTTTGTAGAAAAGAGCGCTACAGCCAGACAGAAATTGATAATCTATTCTATAGTATTGTTCTTCCTAACAGAACCTACGGACTATCTGTTTATGGTGCCTCAGATGCTGAAATTAATGTCCTTCAGCAATTTTTAGACAGATACTCTAAGTTGCGCTTTATATCCACATAGTTAAATCTTAGATCATTATTACGAAAACAAGATAAAGGGATGTTTAAAAAAGTTAAACAGCGTGATAACCACCCTCTGAAGGTATGCTTACCGCAAGAAAAGAACAATTTAACTCACAATATTAGACGTAAAAGCTGCCAAAGGCCCAAGATAAACACCGATCGTTATAAGAACAAATTTGTAAATACACCCTTTTATGATATTTTAGGTCAGATATATGTAACTAGTTTTTCACATTAATCTAATTAATCTGTTGTAAATTAGCTGAACTTTTAATCTTTTTATCCTGTAACATTAGATATGTATTTTTATCTAATGAGCAATAAAGACAAGTTATCTCCCACAAATCATTATGGTGTTGTCAGGAATGTTGCGGGTTCTTCTATTTTTGAGCGATTTCCGTTCTAGAGAATGGAGACCAGATGGTGATAATCATCTATAGATGGCAGTGATAAAAAATGCCTGAAACATCTACTCACTCTATTGCTAAACCAGCAACCTCGCATGATCAAATTTGTGTTCTCTTTTTTCCTCTGAAACATTGTATCACTTGATACTCATTCGTAGCGTCGTTTAATATATCTGGGATTAAATTGAAAGAACATTTATTACATTTCAAACTGACTTTGCAAGGAAGCAGAAGCTGGCAACTCTCCTCTATTATGACAGAAATAGTACATTCTATTTTAAATTTTTTTTCTATTTTCAGGTGTTTCTAGAAGCACAAACCTTTCCCAGTCATTTCACCTTCGCAATTGACTTTCTCACGCTGGATACTTTCCTATTTGATGACAGAAATAGCATAACTTACATTCTATTTTGATTTATTCACTCAATTTCGAGGCGTTTCTACAAGCACGAACCTTTTCCACCCATTTCACCTTCGCAATAGCCCACTTTGGAAAAGAGCGGTAGCCTGGAACCGAAGTCGCCGCGCAAGCGCTTATGGGACTGTTTGGGGGGACGCAGGTAAAACAAAAACATGGCGGAATTTAGCGCGGAATGTAGTGGTGACAGCAAGGTTTTAACGGAGCAAAATAGCGATAAGGTCGAAGTAATCGAAAGAAACAAATCTGATAGCGTAAAGCTAAGAGAAGAAGATGTACCAGGAGCAATTTTACCTCGGGAAATACCAGAATAATGCACCGTGA